CTGATAAAAATGTTTTTTAAAAAGTTCCCATCATTATTTTTGCTTAATATTGATTAATGGTGGAAAACATATGTGGGAGCATAAATTCAACATACAATCCAGTTCATCTAACTAGAATGAGTTCACCGAGATTAGCAAAACACAGTGAAGAACATTTTCTCAAAGCTTTCTTATGTCATACATCATTATTTAAAAACAAAAAGTTGTAGAGATAAATAAAGCAATCTACTCAATTTTATGGGTATTTTTTTCAGTAAAAATCTGAAATAAAATCACTAACATAGCTAACAATATCTAAACAAACATCTACCAAAATATGTTTAAGCCTACAAACAGGAAAAAAAGGGTCATTCTTATCAGAAATGCTGCAGAAATGTTGGGTGTAAATACCGGAGGTAACACCAAAGGTTGTACCAATGTTGGGAAGTCGAGAGTTAAACCAAAGTAAACTACTTCATAGTTTTTAAGCTTAATAATATGGATTTTATCTTTTATAATTAGAACTTATATATGGAAGTATCGACCGTATCATATTGGAAACATTATCGTTTTTTCTTGTCATTGTTCTCAGGTAAACTTAGCAAATTGTTTGATTTATAAAAAAAATATTGCACTCATTCAAACACAAAAAACATTATAACCAAGGGATATAATACAAAAACTGCTTTACGATTTTTAAAACTTCTTTGAAATTGAAACAGTGGAAGATTTATGATAATATAAAACATTATATGTTTCATGCTGGTTGATTTGTTTATCCCATTGTTAACTCAGAACAAATTTCACTTCTTACTTGGGACTCGAAAGAAACAAGGAATTAAAAATAAAATACATCACTTCTGTCCCTATAGGCAAAAATTCATATTTCAATATGTCATCTTGTTTTGAACATAAATATTTATAGCAAACCAAAAAATGTAGCAAAAAGCTGTTGCAGGAGACTTACCCCAGGATTTAAAAATAAGTCAATGTGTTTGTGAAGAAGTGATTGATTGGCATGATTTCCCAGACAAAAATGTTGAAGGAACTCATGTGCCAGCATCATGACTTCATTCATACGAATATCTTCTTTCTACAAATGACAAAAAACATGCAATTACTCTAGCTTCAAATCTTACATCATGAAAATTTTAAAATTTGAAATGCAGAAGTATTAATATCTGAAAATATTTAAACAACAACTGGATTTTTTTTAACCACAATTTTCCTCATAAAAGATGCTGTTTGGAGTGCCCAAAAAAATTAAAACACACCAGATTTGTATTATCTTAAAAAACAACAACTCATCTCCATATGGTCACAGCAACATTCAGGAAGTTAAACAAATCTTAAACTTCTGGAAAACAGACTAAAAACTAAAAGTGAGTAAAAGTTTTCTTCATAAACTGTTGATACGAAGATAATAATTTTAAACTGCAATGTAAAAAAAAGTATCTGACAAATAGAATTGGTCAAATCTATCTTTGATTTTTGCTTTTGAAAGAAATCTATATTCAACGGATAGAAACTTATTCAATAAGTGTATTTCATCAATGGATATAAAAAATATTTCTTTTACCAATATTTTTAAAACACAATATAAATAGGGTAGTAAAAGAATGTTCCATTTAAAATGAAAAAAGTATAAAGTTAATAGCCAATAAAAAAAACTGAAATCAATACAGGATCTTTATACTGAACTAAAAATGTGTATGGCTTTTTAACAATAGCTGCAGTATTATTTTACTTAGTATTTGTTTTTAAGTGCAAAGTTACACATTGAATTATCTGCACTGTACTGCCCATGGGCATTAAACCCTAATTTTTAATGTTATAAGCCCTCAAGCTTGTGGATATATGAGACTGTTTTAACACAGAAACCACCGTTTCAGCCACAAGTATGGTCTGATATATCATTTTCCAGGACAAGTAAGCAAAGTTAAACAAATTTCATAAAGAGCAATGTATGCTTAAAATTCAAGAAAGGGCATTTTATTTAGAACACCATGCAAAGTTCAGTAGGTTTCTAGTTTTCCACAGTTAAAGTTTTCTGTGTGTTAAGTCAGTTACAATAAAATTCAAGAAAGGGCATTTTATTTAGAACACCATGCAAAGTTCAGTAGGTTTCTAGTTTTCCACAGTTAAAGTTTCCTATGTGTTAAGTCAGTTACAAATAATGAAAGATTAACTTTTATCTACTGTTATAAAAATGGTTCACATGATATAGAAAATAAGTGTTCAACATATTTGGCCAGAAGTTGATATTCAGCCGAATCTTTCACACTGTTCTTTATCCACTAATAACTTGTACGTATTTAAATATATCAAATCAAGGGATAATTTGAAGGATAACTTTAATATATTATCAGAATATAGCCTCCAACCAGCTGCAAGTTAAATGTTCATATTTCTTGTTTGTTTATATTTAGTTGAATCTTTTATAAACATCTTAAAAATGGTAGAATCCTCAGGGCAGAATTATCACCCGGTCCTATAACACCAGACAGCAGTTACATAAGTCATTTGGTACAAAGTTTAGAACAATAAAAAAAAAAATCAGAAACCAGGAGACATTGTACATAAAAAACTTTAGTCAAAATGATCTTACTTTATCATAAGGGATTTCCAAGAGTTCTAGAACAACAGCATGAGCACCCATGTTTCTTAATAGTCGCTGTTCATGCTTGCTTGGCTTCTTACTCCCCCCTGGAGTTTCTTGCACACAGAGGTGAATTAGTCGCAACAGGATCTGATGAAGTAAAATAAGACAATGAACAATGAAATACAGGAGATTAAAGCTTTCCAAACTGGACTGGTCAGTGTGACCAAACTTGTAACCACAAAGTAACCAGCATTTTCCATACTATAACTTTAATGTGTTTTTGTATCTTCATAAAATTTGGCAAAGTAAACATTACAAATCTTTTGTAGATAAAAAAATCAGAATTTTTAATTAAGTATTTTTACTAAACATTTATCCATACATATATGGAATCAGAATGTTGACTGCTCTGAGTTCAAAGAGATTTTCATGTTTAGACTAAAAATACTTCTCTTCATCTGAAAATTATCAAATTTAATTTGTGTAATCTCTAAAACCTCCCAAGTAAATTTAGGCTGCATATTTTGTTTTACTCACCATCATGCCCCAAGTTGAACAAAAAATATGGTCTGGCTAGTTAATGAATGAATATTTGCTGTAAAATTCTTATCAATGTTTTAAGTGTAACTACCAGTTTGGCTGCCAATTTTGATTTCACTCCTTTAAGTCATACGCTCAATACTTTTTTTGGCCACCCCTTTTTCACACACCTGAGGTGTTTTTGATTAGATAGATAATACACTTATGAATTATTTCTGCAAAAATTTTAACAGTAAAAAATAACAAATATAAGTAACCTTGATGAAATCGAGTTATATTTTACTCTGGCAGTGGTGAAACTCCTAGAGAAGTATTGATATTAGTTTTAATTGGATGAAATATACCTCAGTAAACTTAATAATGCCATTACTCTACACTGACAGTAGTAGAGCTATTAGTTAATTATTATCATCAGTTTTAATTTGATGAAATATACCTCAGTAAACTTAATAATGCCATTACTCTACACCGACAGTAGTAAAGCTACTAATTAATTATTATCATCAGTTTTAATTTATGAAATATACCTCAGTAAACTTAATAATGCCATTACTCTATACTGACAGTAGTAAAGCTACTAGTTAAGTATTGTCATCAGTTTTAATTTGATAAAATATACCTCAGTAAACTTAAGTCTTTATTCTACACCGACAGTAGTAAAGCTACTAGTTAAATATTGTCATTAGATTTATATATTACTGTGAAGAAGTAATGCTTTGGGCTCTAAAGTGTGTATTTAAATAAGAAATACTATGTTCTTCACCTGTTGAATAGTCCTGTAGTTTCTCTTTTGCACTAGATCAAGAGGAGGGCCAATATCAAGGTCAATGGCTGAACCTTCAGTAAATGTATGAACTCCCAAGTCCTGAAAAAAGAAACTGAGATTATTAATTAAAGTAGTTCCACTTACTGATCAAACAAAAATTAGACACAAGTTTATATGGAAATAGCATGAATAACATACAGATATACTTGAACTCCACAGAATTAGCCTTGTATCTACATACACACATTACACTAATATGAAAAGAATATACTGTACCTTCTACATTTATTAAGCATGTTTTCACTTAACTTTTGGTACTTGAGAATTTCTATTGCAACAATTACCATTCATTAATGCTTACAGCATAAATTTCATATAATTTGAAGTCAACCAAAATTCAAAATATAGAGGAGTATTATTTTTTTAATACTTTTCTCTATCTATTTTAGGTAAGTTTGTCCCTACTGTTATTAAATTCTTTAACAGTCATCAGATAAAAGTGTTTTCAGGCAGGCAGTA